AAACATGCCCTGAATGACCAAGCAAGATTCATCGTCGCCAAGCGAAGCGACAAAAACGCAGCCACGATTTCTGCTTGGGGGCTGAGAGCTCGAGCAGGAGGAGGACGTCAGGTACGGAGTCAAAAACCAGCAGGAATCGGGCAGCAGGGCTTTAACGGAGACAACAACGCTCTGAAGTCGCGGCATCTCCACGAGAGGAGGGTAATAGAACAGTAAATGCCACGGGAGAGGGCACTGCCAAGAGCTAATGCGGAGTGCTGCATCCCACGATGAACCCGTGCTCAAGGAAGATTAATTGAAAGTGAAGTGCGAAAAAGGGCTAAGAGTAGAAACAGCAGAAGGGGTGACCTACATTACCAGCAACTAAAAGCCTGGCTGGCTTCGCGGGCAGGAATGGGCTGGTAAAAAAGAGCAGGATGTTATAAATCCACTGGGAGGTCAACATCAGGAAGAAAGTAAATTTAATTAAGTAATAAAGCAGCTCTAATGCAAGAAACAACGGAGAGAAAGTGATTACGAGCAGTCTTCAGCTGGAAACCGGGCTTCCACGCATCGGAGCGGAGACGTTCTGGAATAACCTTCAGAGCAAACACAGAGAGGAGAAACAAAAAACCCTCAGTGTGTTTCAAACGGTGACTGATCAAGCTTGCGAGAGGGACCAAAAGGTTTCCTCCCCCTTACCAGGAAGGCCCGGCCTCAAGTCGCCAATTTCTTGCTGTCGGTGCCTATCAGAAAGCACCTGGCAAGAGGCAGGTCCTCCAGCTCTGGCAAGGAGAGGGCTAACCCACATTTCATCCCCTGCTGCACCTTCCTTAATGGATGAAAAACCATCTGTGGCCAACACGCTCCCCCAGCTCTCCTCTGTTTTTACCAGAGAAAAGCTGTCAAACGGAATATTTGACGTTAATTGAGCTCACCTACCTAAAACATTTATCTTTAGCACCGTCCCTCTCCTGCGGGAGCGGAGAGCTCCCTAATCAAATTACCTTCTCGGGTTTTTTTGTTGCGTAAAGCATTAACGCCAGCGCTGGATATCCCAGACAATAAGCCATCTCCTAACAAAAACACGGCGACGCGCGGTACCCTGCCTGTCAAACAAATTCCTCCCCCGAGATCTACTTAGACAATTCCACGCTATAATTACAGCCAGCAGGTAAGAGCGCATCTGCTCGGGGAAGTTCGCTGATGCCTGACTGACGAAAGCCGTGGCAGAGCTAAGCTGTGCGTCCTCGCAGCGGGTTTCAGCTGTTCTAGAAGCTCTGAACGCTTGCGAGAAGCTGCAGAGCTGATGTTCCCTGCGACCTTCCCACCAGAAACGTTTACTGGGGACAGACACAGAACAAAAAGACTCCTTTCGATGCCCGTAGCCCAGACTTAGGAACGAATTCCCTCGTGGCTGTCAGCGGGAAGGCAAACTGGGTGTTCACACGGTTTTAAGCACAACTTTTCCCTCTCCAGGCACCACAGAGAGGCTGGGAAATGTAAAATCTGCGAGCAAAGGGGCTCGGGAGCTGCTGAGATTCATCGCATCCTTTGGTACCGAGGGAAGATGAAGCTGTTTGGGGTTTTTCTGGCATCGCCTTACAGGTGGCAAAGAACCGCGGCACCTCAGGGAGAGAAAAGCACCTAAAGGAAATAAAAACGGTGACAATTGTTGAGCCCAAACAATGCTACCCGGGCTCCTAAAGACAGCCAGCTTGCAGAACTCGAGCTACCAAAAAGCCAACCCGCTCACGAGCTCCTGAAACACCTCCTGAGACCCTTCCCTTCTAAACCACCACCGATTCCGCCTGCTGTCGAACCAAATTCAGCCACGCCAAAAAGAGAGGGGACTAAAGCAGTTCTGTTCTTCAAACACAAAAAGGAAGAGAGAGAAAAAGAGAAAAGAACTGCAGGCTTGCAGCTTGGCTGACATCCTTCAACCTGTTTGTCTTTACACCACTCTCAGCGCCCTCGGCACAGAGCTCCACGCCAGGCACACATCCTGCTCCGTCGCCCCCGGCCACGCTTCCTCAGCCACCCCAACCTGAGGGAGACGATTCCCTGAGAAAATTCCCATCTGTGCCAGCTATTTCAGCTCCCCTTCCAGAAGGGCTGCACACCACCTGCTGGTCACTGCCTCCCTGCTTCCAATTATGCAGCAGAGAGAGATTTTTTCCCCACCCAGGGCTTTCAAACGAGAAAATCCTTCCAAAATAGAAGATAAAAAAGGAAGCTCCAGGACTGCAGAACCCATCTGTGGGCTCGTAAGGTCTGCACAGTCCCCAGCCTTTGAAGACAGCACCGCCCACTAGAGAGCACGGGCTCATTTCTTAAATTAATCAGCGGGTGTGATTTAATCCTCACCTCGAGCCCCGCGTTTCACACCCTGAGAGGAAAAAGCCAGCGGGAAGAGCAGCGCTTGCAGCGCGCTTCCAGAGGAAGCAAAACCTCAGCACGGAAGAAACACAACATCAACCACCAGAGCTGCAAGGGAAGAGCCAGGCTGCGAGGATCAACGCCACCAGCTGCAGAAAACGTGCAGGATCCTTGCTCCTAAACCACGCCACGAGCCAGAACGCATCGGGAAAAGCCCGGGCTGACAAAATCAGCTGCAGGGCTGACTGCCTCCTGCAAGCAACTCGGTTTCAAGCAGAGGTTAAAGGGAACTTGGCTGCTCTCAGGGCAAGGAGTCGAGTGACATTAAAGAAAAAGAAAATGTTTAAAGGACATTTGGTTTTAGCTTTAAATAATTTTTATTTTTTTTTGATGGAGAAGTACACATTTACAAAGAAAATACAAACAAACCTGAGGTAACATCACAAAAAAAAAAAAAAAAGAAAAAAAAGAGGGGGAAGACGGATGGGCTGGGACCTATCTTTACATCATTTAATCGTGCTGAGCAAAGCACAGGGCAAAAAGGGTTTCTTCCAAGTGGCTGAGCCACGTGAAAAGTCCACGTTCAAGCCTCTTGGCTTAAACACTGCCTCAGTGAGCCCACGACACACTGAGCCACTTAGCTCGGGGCTAAGTTTAGCCTTAAAAGGACTTTTCCCCGACAACGGAACCGTTCTCTCTCTCTCTCCTGCATTTACTTGCCATTTATAAGCTCCAGTGCCTCATCTTTGGTCCGCGTGATCTTTTCCTGCCTCCACGACGAGGGCCTTCTGGACTGGTTGTGCTTCACCAAGAGGTGCGAACACCGCACCTTGCTGGGCTCCCCTTGGCCGTTTTTCCCGCTGCCGCTGGGGCGCTCCCACTGGCTGGCATTGGTGATGTGGTTGAAGTAATAAACGCGGCCTGTGGACAAAAAAAGGGCTGGGGTTAGCACGAAAACCTCCCGAAGAACCACGTTGGGCACCACGAGCTGCGTTGGCACAAGCAGCCGGCCCCATCAGCTCGAGAACAGACGGAGGGAACGACGCCTGACAGCGCCGTGTTGGTTCCTACACGAGTTGGGAACGAGCCTGGGTTGAGTCAGAGCAAAAGCTCCGCGCAGGAGCAGCTCCAGCTGCCTTTCCTGGTGCCACAGAGCGGTGGCAGAGCACCCACGGACACAGCCGGGACCACAAACGCTCGCAGGCAGCTCCCTGGTGGATGACGCCGCGGTGCTGGCCTCAGGAAGCATAAAGTTTTCCTTTTGAAGTCAGTTTTTGACCCAAAAATGCGACCTTTCTGGGGCAGGAAGCTCGCTCTGCCGACACCAGGGGTCGAGAAAAGAGGCGAGCGAAGCACAGCGAGGGATCACAGCAGCAACTGCACCTCGCGGGGGAGCAGAAAGCCAGGATCTAACAGCAAGGCGTGTGATTTCCTAATGAATCCGCAGCTAACGAGCTGGGAATTCCAAACATCCACAATGCTTCTAGCAAAGCAGGGCCACGCAGGTCCTTTTTTCCCCTCCCTCATCCCCCCCGCAGCCAAACGAAGGATAAAACTGCTCACGAGCTGCTCGGAGCCCATTTTCAAACCCCCAAACCCTAAAAGATCTCACTGCAAAACAGCAAACCGTGCTGGAAACGCCGCCCTGGCCCCAAACTTCTCCCAGCCATGCTCTGTCTTAGAACATTCTTTACTGGGAGCTCTTTTCTGCTTTACTGGGACCATTTTTTGCTTTACTGGGACCGATTTTTGCTTTACTGGGAGCACTTTCTGCTATTATTTACCCTCCTCTGAGGGTGACGGAGCACAGGAGAGCATTTAGAGCCTCCATCCCCACAGACACCCAAACCCCCACCTGGATCCTGCTCGGATCGATGCTGCCGGTGCCCCCCCCCCGGCTCCCTTCCAACCTCGGCCGCTTCGGGCCCCCCCCCACGGGACCAAACGGCGGCCCCCCCGGTTACCGGGCCCCGCACCCACCCCCTTCAACCCCCCCCACCCCCCCAGGCCCTGCAGCCGCCAGCACCGCCCCGCACGGTTGCCAGAAGCACGGACCCGGCCCCTCCGGGCCCAGCGGCCTCCAGCGCCCAGCCCCGGGGCCCTCCGCGGGGCTCGGCTGAGGGGAGAAACCGCCCGGGCGCAGGCCTCGGGGCCTCCCCCGGTCCTTCAAGGCCTCTCCCGGTACCTCGAGGCCTCCCCAAGTCCTTCAAGGCCTCCCCCGGTACCTCAGGGGCCTCCTCCGGTGCCCGTCGCCCCCCCCCGGGCCCCCCCGTACCGGAGCTGCGGCTCATTCGCTTCTCCCAGCCCGCGGGCAGCTTCTCCTCCTCCGCCATCTTCCCTCTCCTGCACCTCCCAGCCCTCATTGGTCCCTTTCCTCCCCTCTCGCTCTTCCCATTGGTTCATTCGGCCGCCGGGCGCCGCCCACCCGCTTCGCTATTGGTGGAGACGCGCGTCGCTCCGAGGGATACAGGAAGGGGGGTGCGGTGAGGTGGGGCAGGACCCCGGCACGTGATCAAGGAAAGGATGGTGGCCGCCGAGGGTCAAAAAGGGTGAATGTGCTCATTCTGCCCCCCGCCCCTTCCATCGTGGTCCCGGGGGGCACCGATCGCGGCCCCCGCTCCCAAAAGCACTCAGAGAGCAGCGAGTGGGGGGAGGAGTTTATTAGAAACTAGAAAAAAACACCCGTGGGGACGTTCAGAGCCTCAGCAGGGCCGGAGCCCAGCCGTGCCGGGGGAAAGGAATGGGAGATTCCATGGGGGAACACTGGTTCTACTGGTGGGGGGGAACTGGGAGCACTGGGAAGGGATGAGGGGGCCGCTGGTGGCCCGGCTACTGGTAGTACAGCTCCAGGTTCATGCCGTCGTGGATCTCATCTGCAGGTTGGAGTTAAGGAGAGGGGGAAGGAACGGAACGTGAGCCGGCCGCGTGTCCCGGTGGCCAACGGCATCGTGGCTAGTGTCAGGGGGAGTGTGGCCACCAGGAGCAGGGGGGGTGATCGCCCCCCTGTACTCAGCTCTGGTGAGGCCACACCTCGAGTATTTTGGACCCCTCACTGCCAGAAGGACATGGAGGGGCTGGAAAGTGTCCGGAGAAGGGCTACGAGGCTGGGGAAGGGACTGGGACACAAGAGGACACCAGAGGGAACGGTCCCAAATTGCACCAGGGGAAGTTCAGGTTGGACGTTTTGAGGAATTTCTGCTCAAAAAGAGCAGTCAGGCGTTGGGACGCGTTGCCCAGGGAGGTGGTGGAGTCACCGTGCCTGAGGGGGTTCAATAAAGGTTGGACGTGGTGCTTGGGGACATGGTTTGGTGGTGCCATCGGTGCCCGCCCTCACCCCCTCTTTAACGGGAACGCGCCCCCGAAGGGAAGCCACCGAGACCCCCAGCGGGAAGGATACAGTCCCCGAGCGTGACGTGGTCCTTGAAGATGGTGTACCTGTAGGGAACGGGACAGTGAGGCACACACCGGTCGTCACGGCCCCGTCCCAAAACGCCCTGGGGGACGCGGTGGGAGCCCCGCATCCAGCCCCTCCCTGGCCCCTCACCATTTCTTGAGCACGATCTTGTCCCAGCGGGTCCCCGTCTGCGCCGCGATCAGCTTCTTCAGGTCGCGGATGGAATCCTCGGTGCTGGCGGCCCCGTTAAGGAAAGCAGAAGCGGGAGGAGCCCCCCCCGGTACCCCCCAGTGTTCCCCCAGTACCTCCCAGTGTTCCCCTGGTACCCTCCAGTTCCCCCCCATCACTCTCCAGGTGCTCCTTGGTGCCCTCCTGGTCCCCCGTACCCTCCCGGTGCCCCCCCAGCACCCTCCTGGTGCTTTCCTGGTCCCTTCCCAGTGCTCCCCTGGTGCCCCCCAGTCTCCCCCCAGTGCTCTCCTGGTTCCCCGGTGCCCCCCAGTCCCCCCCAGTGCTTTCCCAGTGCCCCCCAGTCCTCCCTCTGGTGCCCTCACAGCCCCCTCCCAGTCCCCCAGTGCCCTCCCAGTACTCTCCTGGTCCCCTGGCACCCCCCCGGTCTCCTCCCCAGTGTTCTCTCGGTCCCCTGGTGCCCCCGGTGCCCCCTCCCCGGTGCTTTCCCGGCCCTCCCCCGGTGCCCCTCCCGGTCTCGGTCCCGGTCCCAAAGGATACTTGCATTTCACCCGCACCTTCTTGCCCAAGCGGTCATTGCAAACGACTTCGATCATGGTTGCTGGGGGAAAGGAGGGGTCACCGGGGGGTGCTCGGGGGAACGGCGGCGAAAAGGGCGGGAGGAGGGGGGAGGGGCAGGGGGTTACCGGGAAAGGGGGGGGGGGCAACCGGAGGGGGGTTACCGGGGCTGAGGGTTACCGGGGGTGGGGTTTACAGAGGGTTGGGGGTTACCGGTGGCGGGGGAGACCGGAAACGGGGATTACCGGGAGCGGGGCCTACCGGAGGCGGCGTTACCGGGGGAGGGGGTTACCGGAGGCGGGAACGGGGGGTACCGGGAAGCGGGGGAATGGCTGAAAGCGACGGGAGAGACCCCGGGAGGGTTTATTGGGGCTAACGGGGGCCACACGGGGAGGTCCCGGCACTCACCGCCGCCGCCGCCGTTCCCTGCGCAGCTCCGCCGCCGCCTCCTCCTCCTCCTCCTCCGCCGCACCGGAAGCGGAAGTGCGCGGGACCGGAAGCGCCGCAGCAGCCCCGTCATGGCGGCGCCCAAGATGGCCGCCAAGATGGCGGCCGCGCTCCCCGACCCGGTGCTGCTGCGGGTCCTGGCGCTGCTGCCGCTGCGGGACCGGCTCCGAGCGGCCAGGTGGGGCCGGCACCGGCGGCCAGGCCTCTCCCGCGGCCTCCTGCGGAGCTCTGGCCGCTCCCTTCGGTCCCTAAGCCCCGGCTGCCTCCTTCCCCGAGGGTCCCCGCTCCCCCCTCCGCCTCCTCCCCGATCCCCCCGGGGCTCGGCCGCCTCCTCCCCGCTCCCCCGGGCCCCTCCGTGACTCTTTTGTGTCCCCCCTGCAGGGTCTGCCGGCGTTGGAGGCGGCTGGTGCAGGACCGGGTGCTGTGGGCAGACGTGGACCTGAGCCCGCACAAGGTGGGCTTCACCCCGGGGCTGGGGTCCGCACCCCTCCGACCCCCCCCTTGTGTGATCGTCCCCCTCTTTTTATTATTTTTATTATTATTTTTATTATTTTTTATTATTTTTATTTTTATTATTTTAATTGTCTTTATTTTTATTATTATTTATTATTATTATTTTATTGTATTATTTTTAATTATTTTAATTAATTTAATTTTTTTATTTTTTATTATTTTAAAATTATTTTTATTTTTATTATTTTTATTAATTATTATTATTTTTTATTTTTATTTTATTATTTAAAATATTTATTATTGTTATTGTTTTTATTATTGTTATTGTTATTATTGTTATTATTATTATTATTATTATTATTATTATTATTATTATTATTATTATTATTATTATTATTATTATTATTCTCCCCCCAGCTCAGCTCCAAGACCCTGTGGCAGCTGGTGCGGCACCGCCTGGGCGACAGCCTGAGGACTCTGCAGGTTCGGGGCGCGCTGCTGGCCGGGGGCAGGCAGCGGCTGCTGAGCCCCGCGCTGCTGGCCGCCCTGGCACAACGCTGCCCGCGGCTCTCCCGGCTCTGCCTGGCCGAAGCCGACCTGCGCCCGCTGCCCTACGAGAGCTTCCCCGCTTCCCTCACGGCCCTGGAGCTGAGCCGCTGCGAAATCCCTGCTGCCTGGTTCTGCGGCTCGGCAGCCCGAGCCCTGCCCCGGCTGCAGCACCTCGTGGTCCGCAAAGTCCCTGCGTTTTCCAACCAGCACCTGCTGAACGTCTCCTCCCGCTGCCGCCTGAAGACGCTGACCCTTTCGGGGACCTACCGCGTGACAGACGCGGGGATTCAGAGCGCGGCTCCGCGCCTGGAGGAGCTGGAGCGCCTGGTGCTGCGTCACTGCGTCGTTACCGACTCGGCCCTGCACTTCATCGGGCGCCACATGAAACGTCTCCGCTTCCTGGAGATCAGCAGCGCTGACTCGCTGACGAACGCGGGCCTGGCTTGTTTAGCAGCCCTGGAGGGCCTGGAGACGCTGCGCCTCGACCACTGCGATAAGTTTTCCCCCGAGGCCATCGCCGCTTTGTGCCGAGCGCTTCCCCGGCTGAGGAACCTGAAACTGGATGGGGCTGACTTTGGAGATGAGGCCATGGGTAAAATTCAGGCGAGCTTGCCCAGCTGTAGCTTCTCACTCACTCCTTGAACAGCCCAAAGCAGGAGGGCGTTCGCCATTCATCACCGAGCTTCCAAATCCCCTTTTTGGGGGTAAAACCTTATTACCTAGGAGCTGCTGTTCACCTTTTGGGGAACAGAATCATTTAGGGGCTGAAATAGTGAGCCAAGCTGGGCTGGCTGAGTTTAGAGGGGGGGGGTGTGACCAGTTTACAAGCTAAAGCTCTGTTTGCTCCTCTTCCCCCTGCTGCTGAGCATCAGGCAGCAGCTTAACCCCTGCCAAATTGCAGGAGTGAAGCGAGGCGCCCTCCTGCCACAGAGCCCAGAGCCCAGACGTCCAGTTAATGCCTAACCCGATTGCCTCACCGCCCCGCACGTAGGCTGCAAGCTGTGCCGAGGAAGAAATATTTCAGCCACACGTGCCAGGGCTGTGTTCTGGGAAGAGCTGGGGTGATCTGCCCAGGCAGCATTGTCACAGGTTGGGCTGTCATCGCACTCGTGCCTTCCTCCAGGACTGGTGTTTGAAGCTGTTCTCCAGGAAGTTTTGGTCCTGGGGCTTCCTAAATGGTGCTAAGAACAACACGTGGCCACAGGCGGACTGGTGCGGGCTTGCAGGCATTGTTGAGGCTGCCGTCACCTCTCTTGGCTGTCCTGGGAGCAGCCACGTTGCCCTGTCACTTTTTATTGCCACCGATCTCCTCCTACCTGCAGTGTGTTAACCCCAGATAACAGACGTTGCGGCTGTAACGCTGTGACATTGCTATTCTTGGATCCTGGAGTCAGCCAAGGGCATTTTTAAATCAAATATTGTATTTATTAAATAAATAAGTATATATTTTGACTTACGTCTCCTTCCTGGTGTAAGGTTTTAACTGAACTAAATAAAATAAAGAAGTCAGATGGCTCCTGACGCCGAGCACTCGGGTATTAACAAAGCTGCAGTGAGACAAGGCGCCTCGGGGACACCTGGGGATTTGTCTCCCACTTCAGCCACCCCTCCAGTCCTAGGGAATATTTTCCTTTATGGTAGGGACAACGCTCGGAGAGAGCTCGAGCAAGTGTCCAGGTCCAGGATCCTGTAAGAGATTCTCTTGGATGTTCACATCCCCTCTGATAGGAACCAGTTTCCTGCAGAACACAAGTACCTCAATTGTTTTCCCCACTGGGAGCCAGGAGAGACAAGAGACAGATTTCCTAGGAAATGCAGTGGGAGGAAGGATTAACGGCTCAGCTGAGCCTCTCTCCTACCAGGTACTGCTTCGAAATGCGGCTCTTTTCAACCCCCAGCACCCCCTCCCCTCCATTCAGCTGTGGGTTGTGCAATGAGCCGCTAGGTTTTGGCCAGCCCTGGGTGGCAGTGACCCCTGTGATGAAACCCTCGTTGCTGTGCACCTCGCTAGCCGCCGGTCTTTGTGCCCTGGCCTCATTCTGCTTTCCCGTTCCTATACACAAACAATCTCGCTGTAGCTTTGGGGCAAATAAACAGTGGTAAATGCCCCAGCTCTGCTTTGGAAAGCATCCCAAGGCTGCCAGCTTAATAACCGCTGCTACGTGTTTATCGCAGGCCCAGAGATTTACGCTGGAGTAATTAGCGTTATTAAAACTTCAGCACTATCTGTCCCAGCACTCTCTGGGCTCGGAGAGCGAAGGTAAAACAGCAAAAGGGAAAATTAAAACCAGCCAAATTTGTCAGTCAGTCAACGTGCAGCCTGATGCCGGGAGAACCTAAATGTTCTCCCGATGTTTGCAGTGGGATGTTTGCGAGCCTGATGGCACAGCGCACCAAACAACGTAATTTAATATCTGACGGTCCCAACTCGCCCGTTTTCCATCGTCTCTGCAGAATGCACAATTTCTGAGCGTGGAATAGCACGAAGCAGCAATCGCAAGTCCACGCGCCTCAGAGCAGCCTTCCCGCTGCTGCATGAAGTTTTGGCTGCTGGCTCTTGCATGAGGGGAACTGTGAATATTGGGTGAGCAGAGGCAAAATGTAGGAGTAAAGGGCTGGAAGGGTCCTCTGAAGTCATCCATCGATGCCCCTGCAGCACAGCATTGCCCCTCTTCACCCATCAGCTGAAGCTTTTTCTCCTCACAAGCTTTGGGGAGCTCTTCCAGGGCCTTGTTTCTTCTCAGTCCCAAACTCGGAGGGGTCTGGTCTCCATTTCACCTTTGGCCATCACGTAACATCTTGAGCTTGCACGGTTCTTCCCCCAAGCCCACCTCATCACAGAATCAACCCCCTACGCTTCCTAAATGTGGGCCCAAAGACTTGCAGAAAGCCAGCTACAACCCCAGCCAAGCCGGCGTACGGACCAGGAGACGGGGTTGTGTCAGGGCTGAGGGGGGTGAAGGCCACGGCCACCAAAATGAAAAGAATTCACCAAAGAGAGGCCCTAAAGTGCAGGTTATTGATGAATTTGGGGAGCAGCGTTTCATCAGAAGGCTGACTTTCCCAAGCAGCTCCTTCCAAATCAAAATCTGTTTTCTGGGCCTGCTCTGGAAGCGGCGCGTTCGCTCCCTTCCACTCGAGGGAACCGCCTCAGAAAGCCGACAATTTGCCCTTTTCACTCCAAAGGGGATGTTCAACCCTGGCCTAGAGCCCCCAGACGGGCGGGTTATTGGAAATGGACGCGATCCAAGCTGCTATTTTGAGAGCAGGAGCCAATAAGAGGCAGCTTGAAAACCTGCTGGTTAAATGCTAACCTTTGGACCGAACGTCCCCACAGGCACTGCGCGTCCTCTCCTCCAAAAACGCTGATGACCAAGCTCCTAGCGAGCTCCTAGGGCCAGCCAAAGCTCGTGGCGATGGATGAGGAACATCTCCACGATGACCTGCACATCTTTAAAGGTAAACCTCAGCCCTGCTAAGCCCTTTGATCTGCTGCTTCACGATCTCCTGGCCTGCTCTTCCCCTGCCAACGTGCCTGGTTTGTGAGGAAGAGGAAGGTCTGGGCTTCAGGGCACCCGTTAGGGAGCTTGGCTAATTGGATCTAACGGGATTGATCGGTTGGGGTGAGGAACTCTGCCCTAAGAAGCCGCTCCCTGAGTTGAGGCTCAGCTGGAGGATGGGCGAGGGGGGCAGCGAGGGGCTGTGGGTGCTGGGGAAGAGCTGGGTGCCCACCCAAATGGGCTCCCAAAATGGGCTCCCAGCACCCTCAAAGACCTCCCAAGGGTGGCTCTGACCCCCTCCGAGCTCCCCAGCACCAGTAAGGGACAGCAAAGACCCCCCCAGAGGGCTGTCACTAGGGGAACCCATTTTGCTTTTCCACCAGGCAGCCAGGAGGGTCTAGAACGTGTCATATTCCAAAATACACAGTGTAAAATCATCATTTCTGTGGAGGAGGCACCAGTTTTGTGCCGTTTGTGTGATACCTGGCAAAAAAATCACCTTCCCTGCCCCATAACGCGGGGTAATGCTAGCACAAGGCAGCGGCGTGACAGCCGTTGTGCCCATCGCTGTGCCCCAGAGGGGTCGGGACAGGAGCTACCATCCAAATTTTGCCTCCTGTAGCAAAAAGTTAACCACTCCAGGTTATTCATTAACCCTTCTATCAATGGAGCCCGAGGAGCTATGAAACTCGAATTAATCCGGTGGCCAGAGGGGAACCGTTTTTCACATCTCTTGTGTTTTATTTTAAAGACAGAAGCTTCTTCCAGCAGAAGCTGAGGTCCTTTCTCACGATTTACCTTCTGCTGGCGCTCTCCTTCTTGCTGATGATCACCTTGTTCGCCGTGTCGCTCTCCAGAGGTACCAAAGCCCCTCTGAGCGGGTGGAGGTTTCATGTTAATTCATGCTAATTAATTAGGCGGGTAGGACCAAGAGATGCATGAGGTTGTGGGGCTGGGGGCTGGCACCATACTGGGGGCTCAGACCTCCACGGAGACCTCCGAAGGACGAGGCATGGAGCAGGGAGTGGGTTAAATGCAGCAGAACAGGGCTCATCCTCATCCTTGGCCAATACCAGTACAACCAGTACACCACCGTGTCTCTCTCCCTCTCTCAACGCAGTTTCTGCCATCTCTTCTAAACTCAACGAGGTGCACACGGAGAAGAAACAGAACTTTTCCAACAGGGATTCCCTCTGTAAGTCCCAGACCCACAGCTTTGTACCCCCTCTGTGCTTTCCCTAATCTGGCACCTGCACAGACAGAGCCCCAGGAGGGCCGGGTGGACAAGAGGGGGCTGCTCTCCTGCCTTCTGACAAGTTTTTTTCCATTGGAAATAAAAATCCACCTTGTAGTAGAGGCATCTTTAAGGTGCTTTTGTGGGAAGCCAATACACAGCTGCAGGATTGTGCCCGTACCAGTTTGGCACTGGAGCACTGCTGGGGAATCCCTCCTGACTTCCCCCCATCCTTCTTCCCCCAGTGTTTCCCTGTGGACCCGAAGCCAGGGAGTGGGAATATTTCGATGGCAAATGCTACTACTTCTCCATCGACAGAATGAGCTGGTACAAGGCAAAGACCCAGTGCGAGGAGATGCACTCGCGCCTGGCCATCATTAACAGCTTCGCCAAGCAGGTAAAGACCCCAGCAGCCACCAGTTAGCCCCAGCTCCTCTCTGCATCCTTTGCTCCATGCCTCACACCCCAACTTTGGGATGCCGGAGCGTCCCAGAGCCTGCTGTTGTCCTCGGCAGCAGCCAGCAGAGAGCAGGCAGAACTCGCGCTGCCTGCCCGCCAGCTCGGGCTCCGTGGCTCTGCGGGATGCTCTGGTCCCCATCCCAACTCCTCCACGACCCCAAAGAGCAGCCAAGAGCAGGGCTCGGCTGTGCCCCGAGCCCCCTCGCTCCGGGAGCCCCTTTCCTGGTGCTTTCCCTCCTGATCCCTCTCCCCGCTGCAGAATTTTGTCATGTTCAGGACAAGGAATGAGCGCTTCTGGATTGGGCTGACGGACGGGAACTCGGAAGGGGAGTGGGAATGGATCGACGGCACCGACTACAAGAGCACGTTCACGTGAGTGCCAGCCTGCCCCTCTGGGCACCCCAAAACCGCAGCCTGCTGGCGCACCCCTGTTTCGCCTCAGGTCTAACACAGTAGCAGAGCCAAGCACAGCACCTAAAGGCACCCAAAATCATCCGAAATTACCCAAGCCAGGCGTAGCTAGCCCCCACCCCACGCTCCCTGCATTTCCCTTCCCTGATTTTGGATTTCTCTGCCCAGATTCTGGAAGGAAGGCGAGCCCAACAACAGCGGCAACAACGAGGACTGCGCCCACGTCTGGACCTCCGGGCAGTGGAACGACGTCTACTGCACCTTCGAGTGCTACTACCTCTGCGAAAAGCCTGTGCCCAACTGAGCGGTGCCGAGCAAAGCGGCGTGCCCGTGCCCTGGCACCCCCAAAATTTCCTTTCTCTTCTTAATTTATACTATCCTGCCCGTTTCCTGCCGGTTCCTCTCGACCGCCCTGTCCTGCTGGGGATGGGGATGGACTTCCATGGTCCTAAGCAGGAATCCAGCTTCTCCATGGGGAGCTCGGCCGAATAAAGGAGGATTATTGCTCAGGAGCAATGGTTAACGCGGCCTCCCTGCTCCGGGGAGGCCGAGCTGGGGCGGTGGCGGGCACGAAGGGGACGCAGGGTGCGGGTCAAGCGCTGTGTCTGGGGAGCTGCTGCCAGCTCAGTTTTCCTATCAGGGAAAAAAAATCGTCATTTGGGGAACTTTTCTTTTTTTTTCTTTCTTTATTTATTTTTTTTTTTAAATTTGGATTCCGCTTTGCAAAACTGCCCGGCCCCAGCTTGGCGTCGGATGAGCCCAGCTTTGTGCCAAGAGGGGCTGCTGGCACCAAAGGGTGGGCGCCCCCCCTGCCACGGCACTCCCCCCCTACCATAGCGTCCCCCTGCCATAGCGCCCCCCCCCCCTAAGGACACCCCCTCCCTATAGGGACACCCCCCCTACAAGGACACCCCCCCCAACAAGGGCACCCCCCCGTCGCACCCCATCCTGGGGGTCCCCGCCTCCTTCTCGCCCCGGGGGAGCCCCCGGGGTTCAGGGGGCGGCCGGGCCAGGCAGCCCCCGGGGGGGTCCCCACCGTCCCCCCCCTTCTCCCCGCTGCCGGGACGGCGCCGGCGGCGGATTCGTTTGGAAGCCAAGGGAGGGCCGGGGCCATCGAAACGGACCGAGCCCGGGCACCGCGACCGCCCCGACGGCGGGAGGACGCGCCGCCGCCTTCCCTGTCGGCGACACGGCTGTCGCGACAGAACCGGCAGCCCTTCGGGGAGCGGTAAAGCGGGGGCTTAACGCACCCGGCTGCGCGGAGCCCCACGACGGCCCTATTCCCACGGAACCCCCACCTCGGCGCCAACGGGGAGCGCCGCCTCTATCGCGACAGTCGCCGACGGGCCTCTGCGCGCAGCGGGCTCCAGCTCGGGGGGCCCGGCGGGATGGGGCCCCCGACGCGCTCCCGGCTCAGGCGCGCTCCCGGGGGAGGCGGGGGGCGGCGGCGCTCACGGGCACGGGCGCGGACACGAGCGGGGGCTGCGCGCTCTGCCCCGCGCACACTCGCGCCCCGCTCCGCTCCCCGAAAAGCGCCGGTGCCGGTACCGGTGCCGGTGCCTCCGGTGCCCCGGTAGGTGCCGAGCACGGGGGGGGGGGGCGCGGGGAGCCGGTACCCGGTTGACGGCAACCCCGGGGACGCGCTCCCGGTGCGCCCCGTCCGGGCGCGGAGAGCCCAGCACCGGGAACCGGGAACCGGGCACCGGACACCGGGAACCGGGCACCGGGAGCCGGCCCGCGGGTCTGGGGCGGGTCCCGTCGGGTCTCACGGACGCGGAGCTGGGGATGGGGGGGAGCGACCCCCGCCGCGGCATCGCCGGGAACCGGAGCGGGCGGGGAGGCTCCCGGGGATCCCGGGGGCAAGGTCGGGGCTTGCCCCAACGGGACCGGGAGGACCGGGGCGGGTGCGCGGCGCCGTCGCCGGGATTTCGTTGCCGTTCGTTTACCGGGACGCGGAAAACGCCGGGGGCCGACGGAACCCACCCAGGGCTGGGTGGGGGCTTTGGGTTCGGTCCCCCCCGGCCGGTCCTAACGCTGCTCTCCGCCCGCAGCCGCCGGGATGAAGACGGAGGAGGCTCCGTCCTGCCTGCAGCAGGCGACGCCGGTTCTGGGCTTCGGTGAGTGCCGGGGGCGGCGGGGAACGAGCAGAGCCCGGCCCCGACCCTCCCGTCCCGTCCCGTCCCGTCCCGTCCCGTCCCCCCCCCTCCCGCTGTCCCCACTCCTCCGTCCCTACCGGCTCCGGTGCCGGTGCGCAGGGAACGGGAGCGGCCCCGGGCTCAGCCCGGTTTTGCGGTTTGATGCTTTGGAGGCAGCCCAAGCCCCGGTAAAGCTGCGAAATGTCCCCCCCCGACCCCCTTCCCCTGCGACCCCAAAACAGCTCCGGGGGGCTGCTGCTGTCCTTAGGGCGTTCGGTGACTCCAGCGAGGCACCGAGCGCGGGATGGACGGGGACAGCCCCAAATTCTGACCCTTCCTTACCTGCCCTGACCCCAAAAAAAACCCTTTACCTCCTCCGAGCCCCGCTGCCCCCCCATTTCCTCGCTGATTTTACGCACAACCCGGCTGCGCACCCGCACCCCGCATGGGATTTGCCGCTCCCCAACGGAGCGAGGCCGGATCCGGCCACCCCAAAAAGGCCTGGCCGGGAGGGACACGATTTAGACCGAGGCACCCGAAAGCTGCCCCCCCGGGCACGCCGATGCCTTCGCCCCTTCTTGCAGAGGTACCGCAGGGTGGGTGGAAATTGCTCTTCCTTAGCACAGCGGCTGGGCCAAACTGTTGCATTTCTACGGCTGCTCCTAAAAAGCTGAGGTCTTTGGGGCAAAAAAGGGCAGAACCTCCTCTGCTTTCGGTCCCCGCTGGGAGCCCCACTCCACTCCCAAGTTTTCTCCCTCTCCCTTTCACAGCGCTCCCCCCTTTGCTCTGAAACGCTCCTCGGCTGTTTAAATATCCGCCCTGGGCTAATTCGGCGTGAAACGATTCCCTGCTTTTTCCCCCCAAATTAAAGAGGAGTTTGGGGTTGTCGGCCACAGACCGTAACCCACTGGCGGTTTGGCCCCTTGGGATGCAAGAAAGGTGGAAATGTTTGACTGCAGGAGTTGCTAGCGGAGGAAAAAGGGGGAGCTGGACAGAGGTTTGATGAGCACCCATGGTCCCAATGTGCCGGTGCTGCGCCATCACAGCCCTCCTCACGGCCCCGGTGCCGTTGTGCTGCTGCTCCAGCACGGCACACATTCATTTGTCACCTTCCTGAGCTCAAATCCCCAATTCCAGGGGCTGCAGCAAGGACATATCCGTGCCTCTGCCCTTGAGGAGCACATTTTGGGCTCGCTGCAGCACCAAGAGCCCCGACACTGGCTCTGTCCCCAGCCGTTCAGGGTGGCTGCGAGAAGCACAAGCTTTCAGGGTCTGACCCCCTCCCACAGGAGCTGCTGTCCCGTTTCCAAGCCCCAGCACTTGATTAAGAAGCTGAGCTGAGCCCAGGAGCCGTGAGGGGCTTGGGCAAGCAGCTGAAGTCAGCTGGGATGGGATACCAGTGGTGCAGGACCCCACGAAACGTGGCAGAAGCTGCTGTTGCCCACCACACCCCCATTTTTGGAGGTCCTTGTGGGTGTAGCAAACCCAAATTCCTCAAATTCACTCCCTGCTGACATTTCCTCCTGCCTTGGTGTAACGGCAGCAGTGCCCAAAAAGCAAAGAGGATCACCTGCCTCTACCCAAATTTCCACCCTCACATTTGCTGCGGTTTCAGCTGATTTCAGGACATTGTGGCTTCTCCGTTTTTGGCTGCAGCTAAACTTGGGCAGAGCGAACGCTCGGAAAGCTTCCTGCATGCAGACACTTTCTGCCCACCCGCATTTTGTCCCTGCAGCAGCCCTGCCTGCTCCATGCCCCCTCTGCACCCGGGGCACACAATTCCAGCTCGCCGATGCCCAAAAATCTGGAAAACCAGCTGCTGAGGGGCTGGGTCAGGGCTCCTCCGTGTGTCCCAGCCCAGTTTTGGTGCAAATCCCTCTTTGGCCAGCACAACCCCTCTCCACTCCTCACCCTGGAGCAGTGACCTGCATCTGGTCCTGCTGCTCGCCAAGGGCTTGAGCCCTCCGAGCCCCCCGCTCCTCCTAGACCTTGTTTCCCCTCAGCATCTTCATCCCTGTGAAGCCACCGTCCCCCCTCCAGCCCCGCTGGGGCAGGTGTTCCCAGGCTGGGGAGGGAGAGGATGGCGATAAGCACTCGTAAAAGCCAAGGAGCTTGGCACCGTGGAGGCTGTGCGCATCGGAGGGGGCGTCTCTGCCTGGCTCAGCCTGCAGCCCAGATCCAGCGCGGCAGATAGCGCATTTATTGCTCACTCCTCTACCTTGAAGCTATCATGACGAAGCCTTTGAAGAGCAGCCATAGATTTGCATGTTGATAACGCCGAGGGGAAAGAAAAAAAAAAATAATATCCCAAATCTCTGCAGCCTTTCCTCTTTTAAGCAGCTCAGCACCCGAGCGTGGGGTGAAAGTGGGCAAAATTCACCCCCGGGGCTGTGCGTTGGCCTGGGGCAAGGTTTGCAGCCCCACCACCTCCTGCGTGGATCTGCTCCACGTTGGCTCCCCGGTTCCATTGTGCGTGTTCCCCACGTCCAGCTCGTGCGATGCCAGGAGCACGGTTCCCCTGGAAGTCACCGCTCAGAAACCCTTTCCTCTGCTTTCACAGGAGCAGCTTTGCTGCTGCTTTCACAGGGCCAACTTCTGCCTTCATTTTCAAGGCTGAGCTCCATGCCGAGCCTCCCTTCTCGCCCTCCTGTGCGTGCTCAGCCGCTGACACCAACACCACGTGGTGTTTTTTTTTTTTAAAAAAACACCCAAACCAGTAGGTAATCGTGCAAGCAAACAGTTGTGCAAGGCTTAGCGTCGCCCCCTCCCAAAAGCCAGACACCCCCGCACGGAACATGCGCCCCGGGGCAGAGCCCAGCTCCTTCTCACGCCACCTTCTCCCCTCTGCCCAGGTTCCGACCCCAAGATGCGGGAGGTGTGCGCCGGCTGTGACACCCCCATCTCCGACCGCTTCCTCCTGCGCGTCAACGAGCGCTCCTGGCACGAAGGCTGCGTGAAATGCGCCGTCTGCCTGCAGCCCCTCTCCGGCACCTGCTACTGCCGCAACCGGCAGCTCTACTGCAAGCACGACTACGAGAAGTAAGTGATTTTTTTTGGGGGGGTCGGGCTCGGTGCTGACCGTCTCCAGGCGGGGAGGGAGCTGGTGCAAAGTGGGGTCCTGGAAGCGTGGCCACCGGTGGCACGCAGGGTGGCGAGCAGCAGGTGAGGTGAGCAGGGGCATCTGTCTCGATTTTCTGCCACGATATCGGGATCAAACGCTCTCCTCAGCTGCTGGGATGGAAGGAGGGAGGCTGAGCCTTGGAGACACGCGGTCCCAGCTGGATGCTTTGCGTCCTGGTGATGGGGCAGGAGCCAGACCCCGCTCTTTGGTGCAGAGGAGCCTGTCCCAAAGGATGCGCCATGGGGCTGCGCTGGTTTTCTTGCTGTTGCTTGGCTCTGCTCATGGTGGCAGCCCTGGCCCTTCAGCAGGGTGGCCACCACCAAGTTCTCCTTTGGAACAACTTGCCAGGGCATCCAAGAGTAGAAGGACTGCTGCCTTTCTCTGCTGGTTGTTTCGTTTTAATGGTGTGGATCAAACGAGGTGTTAAAGTGCGAATCTGGAGGTGCAGCATGGAAGCAGGCACCCCGACGTTAACCCGTGGCTTCCCTCTACTGCTGGGCTCTGCCCTGTGCGTTGGATAAAACACAGCCAGTGCTGCGCGTGGGATTATTTGGGAAAAAAAAATAAAAATCTGGTTTTTAGCTTGATTTCGTCAGCAGGGGCAAAAGCTAGAGTGGGATGGTGGAGGTCGTGCTTTGTCATGAGAGTGTGGAGGCAGAAATGAGAGAAACGGGGCCGCGGGCAGGGTGGCATCGATGCAGTTAGCGAGCCAGGGCCTCCAGTCTCGCACATATTTCCAAGAAAACCGTGTTTATCCCCAGCTCCTTGTCTGCAAAACTCAAAGACGTGAACATGGGCGTAATTTTGGGGTGTTTGGTATTGGCCGGTGAGGTGGGGGGATAGTGGTGGCAGGCCGCATGGACACTCCACGGCATTTCTGGGTTGCTGGAGTTTGGCAGCGTCCTCTAAAGGCTTTTCTGACCGGCCCTGATCTTATCTCCTCCAGTGCTTCATCAGAGAGCGCAGCCTCCTCCCCGCCAGTGACGCAGGCGCTTGGCAGCGATGGGGATGGCAATAAAAACACCGGGGGCTTGCCCGCTTCCCCGAGGTGGCTGGGAGAGCCGGGCAGGCACGAGGAGGCTTCTCCCTCCCCCTTCAGCCACAAAAAGGGTGAGCACCAAGGGCTGCTTGGATCTGAGCAGGATGGGCCCCCGCCAGGTCTTGCTTTGGCTAGGAGGAGCTGGTGGCTGGAGGGGGTTTGGTGGCTGTGGTTGTGCGTAATCAGACCCAAATGTGTTGGCAAAACCCGTCTGCGCAGAGCCCCTCGTCCCTCCGAGGAGCTGGGTGCCTGATTTTTGATGGGGTTTCCATGGGGCATCGTGGAGACCCCAGCCTCCACGCTGCTTTTGGCCAAAAAGGGAGGCTGTGCGTCCTCAGGACAGCGTGGCCGTGCCATTTCCCCTCACCCTGTGCCGAATTTGACCACGCTGCTGCTGTTCGGTGCTGGACCCGGTCGAAGGACCTCAGCCCGATTTGCAAAGACACCTTTAGGGTCTGCAAGTCCTGCAAGTCGGTCCTCCGGGCGCTTCCGACGGCGTCTGCTCAGCACCTTTGTGCTCCCAGCATGGGAATTTCCAGGGAGGCAAACTCTCAGTCCTGCTGTTTGGAAATCCGCTCCCCCCAGAGTCCGCATTCTTGGCCTTGACTCTCCAAAAAGTTCCCGGGTTTGGCCAGCGATTAATCCCAAGCTGCAGGACCCAGCGTCGCCCCGGGGCCGCGGCGCAGACCGTGGCTGCAGCAGGGTGACCTGGAGGGGAGACCCATCTGGCATTTATTCCCCCTCATGCGAGCTGCGCAATAAGAGGAAAATGCTTTAATGGCGAGATAAGCCAGCAGCTGCAGCTGAACGTGGGGGAAGGAACGGGCTGTTGATCTAGAGATGAAATGTTAAGCCCGAAGATGGATGTTGTTCTGCAGTCCCTATCATATAAAACCACAAGCTGAAGGCTTTTGGGAAGCTTTCCTCTTCCCCTCTCGCCTGGGGCCCCGCCAGCTCTCCTGCGCTTTTTGCTCAGGCACCTGCCCTGTAAATCCCGCTCCGGGCAGCTCGCGTAAATGCTATCAACCAGCAAGGGCTCGGGCCGGGACGGAGGGGGGAGGAAGGAAAATACTCCTGAAGGATGATAGAGTGGCTGCAACGGCCCCGTCCCGGGCGCCTTGTTTACTTTGAAGTTTGTTTTGTGGAATGACAGGCAACGCGGGGGCTGCCGGGGAGCTGTCGGGAGGGATCTGAACCGCGGCCGCGCGCTGGCAGCCGTCCCCCTCTCCTCCGCGCTCTCCTCTTGCCCATGTGGAGATGATTTCGCTCGTCCTCGCTGGAGATACGGGGTGAACTCGGCTCGAACCTGGCTCGCCGGCTCCCCATCGCCGCGCTGCTCCTACGTGATCGAGCGCGGGCTCCATGTGCCCTCGTGCTCCCCGTTTTTGCGTGAATCCCCGCGGCTTCTCCGGCTGGATGCTAAGGGATGAGGAGGGGGCGAGCGGCACAATCAGTCCGTTAGCCCCCCATGGGTGCCTTTGGGTTGTTAGCTTCTCGGCCGGGCATCACACAGAGCCCAAGCTGACCTCAAGCCCACCTTAAGCAGCCTCTTCCCCGCTTATTGCTGCGCTCGGAGATCATATCCACAGCCAAAAAGTGGTGTTTTGTTTTTCCCCGCTCGGTCAGATCCTGAACCAAGAGCAGCAGCAGCTTGCTTCACCTTTTGAAGCCTCAGACACCCCCAAGCAGCGGGTAGGGATGGTCAGAGGCAGGGAGCCTTGCAAAAAACGGTCTGAGAGCAGCTGGCTGGGCGCACACCTCCAAAATAGTGATGGAGATGCACTGCAGGGACACCCGGCGGCGTCCTGCTGTGTCCCGTAGCGCAGGGTGGCATTCAGCACCCATACTGGTATCCAGCACCCATACTGGTATCCAGCACCCATACTGGTATCCAGCACCGACCTGGTTTGGGCTAATTTTCCAAATGGAGCAGGTTGGGAGAAGTCCAGGAGCCGGGGTGGGAGGTGAGAAATGGGAGATGGGGAGGGAAAAGTGGCAGTAAGCTGCCTTGTTCCTAGGGGGGGGGACCCAGGCTGCAAATCCAGGCTGGCAAGGCAAAGGGGGGGCAGAGGGGACCCAGAGGGAGCTCTGCTGAGCGGGCTGGGTCGTGCTTAAAGCCCTGCGGGAGGGCGACCCCCGGGCACGGATCCCCTGGGGGGCAGACGCCGGGACAGGGCTTTGAGAGCAGAATGAGCCCAGGCGCTGTCTGCAAACCGCACACATTCCAGGCGCGGGAGTCAGGCCCTAAAAATGATGAAATTGGTGTTGAAAGCAGAAGGATTTGGGATTTTTGCTTGTGACGGGCTCCTTTTTTTTTTTTTTTTTTTTTCCTTTTGAGCATAAAAAACTTTGCCCCGTTTGGGGGACGTTTGGTTCCAGCCGGCTCAGAAATTATCAGCTCGCTTCCTAGGCCCGAGGAATTTCAAAAATGATGCTTGAGATGCGCCTGAAATGCCAGAACCTGACGAGCGGGGACTCAAGGACAAAACGTGATGGATTGCAAGAGCTGCTGACAGGCGCTGCTCTCGGGAAAGGGCTTCTGGCTGCCCCCTGCTTGGCCCAGCTCTGCTTTGCGGAGCGTCGAAGCTCCCAAAAGATGCTGATTTTCCCCCAAAAGCTGCAGGCAAGGACATCAGCATTGCTCGGCCACATCCAGCTTCTCCATCGGGGTCCCCCCGTGTCTCCTCCCGGCCCCTGCTGCCCATGGGGCAGGTAACGAGAAGTGACAGCGCTCCGAGAAGTGAGCAAATAAACGAGATAATGAGCACCATGATAAGGCAGTGATGAATGGGGGCCGCATGCCCAGCTCCTTCCAGCCCCCCTGGGCAGGGAGAGGGGGTGGTGCGAGGTGCACCTGATGTTTCAAGCCCCCTTTCTGCTCCCAAGCGGCCCGTGATGGTCATGGGTGGGTGCCACTGTCCCAATTGTGCCAGTGCTTGGGGGCTGCAGCAAGCGTGGAGCTGGGATGGAAGGAGAGGGGGTGGAAGGAGCTGGGATGGAGCTGGGATGGAAGGAGATGGGAAAGAGCTGGGAAGGAGCTGGGATGGAGGGAGATGGGATGGAAGGAGCTGGGATGGAAAGAGTTGGGATGAGGGAGCTGGGAAGGAGCTGGGATGGAAGGAGCAGGGAAAGAGCTGGGATGAGGGAGCTGGGATGAGGAAGCTGGGAAGGAGCTGGGATGGAAGGAGCAGGGAAAGAAGGAGCTGGGATGGAAGGAGATGGGAAAGAGCTGGGAAGGAGCTGGGATGGAGGGAACTGGGATGGAAGGAGCTGAAATGGAAAAAGCTGAGATGAGGGAGCTGGGATGAGGGAGCTGGGAAGGAGCTGGGATGGAAGGAGCTGGGAAGGAGCTGGGATGGAAGGAACTGGGATGGAAGGAGCTGGGATGAGGGAGCTGGGATGAGGGAGCTGGGAAGGAGCTGAGATGGAAGGAGATGGGAAGGATCTGGGATGGAAGGAACTGGGATGGAGGGAGCTGGGATGAGGGAGCTGGGATGAGGGAGCTGGGAAGGAGCTGAGATGGAAGGAGATGGGAAGGAACTGGGAAAAAGCTGGGAAGGAGCTGGGATGGAGGGAGCTGGGATGGAAGGAGCTGGGATGAGGGAGCTGGGAAGGAGCTGGGATGGAAGGAGATGGGAAGGAACTGGGAAAAAGCTGGGAAGGAGCTGGGATGGAAGGAGCTGAGATGGAAGGAGCTGGGATGAGGGAGCTGGGATGAGGAAGCTGGGAAGGAGCTGGGATGGAAGGAACTGGGATGGAAGGAGCTGGGATGAGGGAGCTGGGATGAGGGAACTGGGAAGGAGCTGGGATGGAGATGGGAAGAAGCTGGGAAGGAGCCGGACACACAATTTGCAGCCTTACATCCATGGTTTATGTGGA